GATTATGATTAGTACTGATGATTAGATTATCATATTCAGTAACATTGATATTTGTCCTGTATATTTGTTGTTTTTTATGCATGTTTTATCAGTTTTAATTAGAATTAATATATCAGTAATAAGATGATAAATTTTTTCACAAATGCAAATTTTTAATCCCATTTAAAAAATTTATTGCCAGTGTTTTAGATTTTTCCTATAATATTATTTATTATTATTGCAAATAGGATTGATTATTATTGATATTAAAATTGGGCTAATTTTAAAATAATATATTAATATTATACATAATTTATTTGATGATAAAAAAATAACAATTGGTCAAAATATTTGTTGATGAAAGTTAACAGTTCAACAAATCATTATAATGAACAAAATTAATATAATCGATATAAATAAAACTGTAACAGTCTGTTTGATGTTTGTTGCTACATCATAGGAAAAAGTCTAAATATATTGTAACCAAACTTAGTATTACTTTTAAAAAATCAATTTTTCAAAAATATTTCCTCAAAATTGATGAAAAAACTTTATGGGTTAATTGTACCTAAATAACCCCCGTTTTTTTGCCTGGACTGCATTTAATTAGAGACAAAGCTTTTATTCGTATTCTTTATTTTCTATGCATTTTGGGTGCAATATTTTCTTTAATTTGCACCCCTCTTCAGGATTTTTACATTTCTATAAATTTGGTAAATTTAATTATTACATCGGTAAATTACTACAATAGTTATACAATGGTTAACTAACCTGTTTTAAGTTTTAGATCGACATCTGCCCAGTGTTGATGTTATGTCCCCTAAGGCATTTTTAGACCGTTTCCCCCTNAAAAGTAGGCAAAGCCAAACCTCTGTGGATAGATATTTTACCAAGCGATCTCTATCCAGTGAAAGTGCTGGTGGAAGTGAAGGAAAGAAAACAAAAAGCAGTGAATAAAAATTTAAAAACAATAATTTTTTTATCTTTTCTAAGTTATTTTTAAGTTATTGTTACATTATGTTATGTAAGTTAAGTTTTAGTATCATTTCCCTTCTCCCTCTCTTCCGCCACCAGTTTACACCTCCACCGTCGTCTATCCTCAAAGGTAAAGGGCAAATAAAACTTATTATTACATTATTTTATGTAAGTTAAGTTTTAGTATCATTTCCCTTCTCCCTCTCCTCCACCACCAGTTTACATCTTCACCGTCGTCTCTCCTCAAAAGTAAAGTGCAAATAAAACTACATTTTTTGTTTTATCAATTATTATTCTATTATGGTTATTTATACATTTACAACTACAAAACGCATTTTTCAGTGTTTTCTTTACTATAGTTTTTATAAATGTACTACTTAGCTTTAATTTGAGTGTGTTTTTCGTGTTGGAATGAATTATTTGGTTTTACATGTAATAGTATGGGGAAAAATGATTCACCTTACGACATTTTCATGATACGACCTCAGTTTCGGAACGGATTAATTTCGTATCCTGAGGTACCACTGTATGTGCATTCCAGGTGAAATTTGGCATTTCTTTGCTGTAATGGGGTATGGTTGCTTCCAGGTATGATAATTCTGTTGTTGTTGGCATATGTATATATCAGAGTATGTTTGTTTTCTAGATGGAATATGTCATTCATGAATAGGGCAAATATGATTGGCAAGATAACACTGCTCTGTGGGATTCATCTATATTCTGTTGTTCTATCAAGATGTATCCTCTCCATTTGACCTTAACCTGTCTGTTATTTAAAACATTGTTAAATCATATGAGTGAGTTGCCATTTAGACCTTTAGTGGTGACTTTGCAGATTATGTAATGGTGTTGGTGGAGTCATATGCCTTATAGATGTTGAGGATGAGTATATTCAGATATTGACCCCTGTTTTGGAGGATATTTAGCTGGATCTCTTGTTGTTATTTGACAAATCCTCCAAAGTGTTTGTAATTGAGCCAGGTAGTTCCATTGTTTTAATACTAAGTAATACAAAACAAGATTACACAAAATGTTATTGTATTTAATTCCCAGGAAAGACATTGTCCATTCTCATGGTTGCAGGAAAATGTCTTTGCACATGAATAAATATATGCAAACATACAGGAGGATGCACTGCCATTTATAGTATGTTTCACAAATCTTGTCTTGGCTGTAAAAATGACAGTAGCAGGAACCAATCTATTTATTTGGTGAAGTGAATAGATAATTTGATGAATCTGTGACAAGATCAAGGATCAAAGAGGGGCTTCTAAATTTTTCAAAATATCCTGTGAAGTACTGCACATTGCCTGGCCAAGATATATAAAATGATCTGTATATGATTATTTTGGTGGTCATTTTGAGCAAAAAATATCCTATAAACTTTGGTCCTATTCTCAACAGTTAGAGTAATTCACTGTGAACAATGCATTAGATTACTGTTTATTGGGATGAATGAAAGATATTTTGTACCAAAGGCACAAACATGTGGAGAAGATAATTGTGCATACTATGCAGGTGTTATCCTAATCAAGGTCAGGCATATGGAGCTACACAGTGGCATGCATAGTTCACCCAAACTATATTGAAAACAGATGGAGACATATTTGAAAGTCTGCTGTAAACTCTATAAGTTTGTAAATATTGATGCAAAATAGATCTGTAACAACTTTTATTTTTGATGTTATCTACAACAATTTGTTACAGAAAATGCATTTTATTTTTAACTTTCAAATTTGTCAAGGTTATGAATTGTTCACAGTGAATTACTTTGTAACTATCGAGAATAGGAATGAAAGTTTGTAAGATTTTTTATACTTAAAATGACCTCTGAAATAAACTGTAAGTGTTGGTACATCTTCCTGAATCAATCTGTATTTGAGCTGTAATAGTTTCCATTGCAGCATCTGTGATGGTTTCCAGATGATAAATGCAAAATTCAGATTGAGTGAGCATTCCTTCCAGGCCTCTACTTATCAAAATGTCCATTATCTCCTGCAGCTGTTTTTTGTGTGCCTTAACAGCACTCCAGATATGTTCAATATGTTCAATTGGATTCAAACAAGAACTATAGGATGCTAGTTAGAAGGAGAATAATTTCAAGAAATTACAATATGCTGTTATTTCTTCAAAGCAGGAATGTACAGGGGCATTATCTAAAACAATGTTAGTGGGCAAAACATTAAGATATTATGTTTTTGTTTCACAAGCATGATAAAGTGCATTCAATCAGACACTGGGTAGATTTTTATCCTTTATTTATTCTTTTTTGTTGACACACGTTTCAAGTCCACAATGCCTCAGTCAACTTCTGTTCTGTATTACCAGTACACATTAGCCAATTTTGAGTGATGTTCTAACATAGTTTTTTAAAATTGGATGTATGCATGATTATAGATTTTTCATTTCCTTTCATTCTGTTGTGTTCTTTTAAGACAATTAAAAGCTTGTAAATTATTAAAACACTTTGTTAGAACTTCAACAATACACATTTAGTTTAAACATTCTGGAAGGTTTCTTGTAAAAAACTTGAATGCACTTTATTGTGCTTGTGAAAGAAAGACATAGAATGATGGTTTCAAATTAGTAAAGAATATTATGTTTTACCAATCTTAAACAATACCCACAAAACTCAGGAAATTTTAAAAAATCTTTTCACTTTTTCTCAGAACTCCAAGCCAATTGAAGATATGCAGCCTACAATATCCAGTTTATAACAGCTCATGTTCTACCAGGAGCATGTTCTGTGCTATATCTACAACACAAAGTTTTTGTCCATATATCAGGTCAGTCCATAAGTTCGTGTGTATTTTATGACCTTGAGAAAAATCTTGTTTTGCTGTTAAAAATGCCAGTCTAATGTGATACTTTTTACACTGAAGTGTTAAATTGGATCTCATTCATATAATACTGTTCAGAATTGGAAACATTTCAGTTGNTTAACCCATAAAGTTTTTTCATCAATTTTGAGGAAATATTTTTGAAAAATGGATTTTTTAAAAGTAATATAAAGTAAACCGCACCATGGATATATACATATCTATTACTTATAACAAACTTAGTATATTGAATCTGTTGATTCGGGAGAAGGTTTAAACATACATATGATCTCAAAATCTTGTTATGACATCACAATAAATATGATCAAATTTATTGTGATATCATCACAATGTCAGACTTTTAATCCTATTTTTAATTTATTTAATTTAAAATATATGCTCTCTACTTCAAATTAATAGTTTCTTGTCCCCGTACATCATATTTTTCCTGTTAGAATAGAGTCATGTTGGACATCTAGCTAACTCTTTTCAGGGAGAATTTTTGAATTGAAATAATGTAACTTCTGGTTTGCATCAGAAGTTCTTATATAATTAATCAGGGCTTCTTGCCTCTAAGCTTTCCATATATAGTTTCAATTTTCATCTATGTAACTCTGTTCTTGAGATTAAGGAAAGAAAGATGGACAGACAACAGTGGGATTTTATAGGTCTACAATATAGGAATACGTTACGTAGGAATTTTTAAACGGATGCCAGCTGTGCAGAGTTACATGGAATAAAATAGCACACCCTAAGTTTTATTATATCTATATATACAAAAGTTAAAATATGTATGTTAAGAAAAGGTTTCTATACTGTTCAATGTATCTGCAACAAATTTCGCATGAATATTCTTCAACATCACAAAAAAATAGTATGGGAGTAACTACCTCAACTATCCCTAAAGCCCAAGCAATCTTTTGCGTTTTGCAGATTCATTATTGTAAATACTCAGGTCAATAAATGTACATTTTAATTACTAAGACAGTTGTTTTTATCCCAACAAGCTTACCAATCCTCTAACCCTCGAAAGCCTGAGCTACCAGGCACATGCAGTTAGTATTTAATATTGTTACACAATTATTAAAATTTTAAGATATAGACCTACATTTCAATGCTGAATTCCATTCATTCTGGGGAATATAGATTTAAAATTAATAAATTAATATAAACATTTTTAAAATTAATCTATTGATAAATTGAATTAATATTTATTTTAAATTGCAGATGGGAATACTCACAACCATAGCTATTTTAATGCATGAAATCCCACATGAAGTAGGTGATTTTGCAATCCTATTAAGATCTGGATTTAATAGATGGGATGCAGCTAAAGCTCAGGTATTGTTAAAAATATATTCATTATATGTTTTCTGGCTTTTAATCTACATATTTTCAATTTCAAATTCAGAAAAGATAAACTTACTTTTTTCTGAAATTAAAATTATCTGATTAATATCTGATAAACAGATAACATTTTGATATTAACTTAAAACTGAATTAACATATAATCTTAAACAAAGATAGTTTTTGAACAATTATTAGTTAATTTCTGGAGTGGACTGTGATTGAATAAAAACTATTACACTCCTCAAAAGTGAAATCGCACAACTGTGAAGGAATACAAGTAGCCACATCCTACATGCATTCTTGCAACACAAATTGCAGCACTAGTAGAGGTGACAGAGATATGCAAATGATTAAGTTTGCATATGTGATACATATGCAAACTTAATCAGATCATGTGGTACCTAGTTTTGGGCTATAAAGACCAGCAACCAGCTCAGGCCATAAATGCTATCAAAAACCATTTATGGCAGCTGAACTTTTGAAGTGTAGAAAATTCTTCAGAGACAATTTCAAGCTGAATACCAACAGTTAATGGCTGGGGAACAAGACTATATCCTGGAGCTGCACAACCTCAGTTTGTCAATGCATGCAGTTGTCATACATGTTGGGAACAACGTGAGTACCATCCAGCAATGTATGACATGATGGATGTAGAAACACTTGCGAACACACCAAAGAGGGGATGGATTTCACCAGCACACAGACTGACAGATTTGCTGACAGCCCATTCAGCAAATCAACCGAAAATGTGACTCATTCACCTTGGCACATGACATCCAAAGCTGATTGTCACAGTCATTGGGTGCATCTGTGTCCACGCAAACTATTTGAAACTTGTTGCATGAAGTCAGGCTGCATGCATGGTAACCAGCAACCAACGTATCCTTAACCACAGACAGAGCTGCACACCTGGCATGGTGTCATCATCATTGCAAATGGCATCGGTATTGTTTATGGATGAATCTCACTTCTGTCTATGGAGGAATGACAGCTGTGTACAGGTGTGGTGGTATCCCAGGGAATGCTACATATCAGACCTAAGCATTACACCAGCCCCACACTGGGCATCATGCTTGATTAACAGACAGCTCTAGTGCACATTTCTAGTACTCTGACAGCAGACCATTACATCACATGAATTGTGGACCCTGGTTCAGCCACTGATGCAGGCTGCATCTGACAGTGTTCTAGGAAGATAATTCCCAACTGCAATTTGCATGGTGAACTCTTACCAGCCTGAATGGAATTCACATCCTTCCCTGGCTAGCAGCCTTGCTGGATCTCTCTCCCATCAAACACCTGTGGGACTTCATCTGACATGAGGTGCACTGGGGACCACTATCATATACCGTAGACAACAAGTGCACTGAAGTGGATGCAGCTTGGCAAGGGATACCTCAGGCAACCATTAATCACCTGATTAATAGTATGCTTCGACATACAATAGCCTGTATAGCTGCTTTTGAGGGCCATATTCGTTATTGAATAAACAAGTGACTGTTGCATACCTTTGTTTGTTCTTTTAATCATTTTCATATCTCTGTCACATCTACTGGTCTTGCAATGTGTAAGTGGCTATATGCATTCCTTCAAAGTATTGCAATTTCAATTTTGAGGAGTGTATAATGAATAAATTGTGCAATTATAGATACACGCATATTATAGTTAATTTTTATGTGTACTTTAGCATACCAAGAGTTAAAAAAATAAATAAAAAAGATTCTTACTAGGCTATTGCACCCTGTAGTAGTGTGTGCTGGCAGTTAGCCTTGGTGCTGCTAGTAGTTGCAAATATTTTTTGTATTTGTTAAAATATGTGGTCAAGGTTTTCAAACAGATATCATTTGGTTTTAATCAAAAATCACATCAGTGACTCCTTGCCAAGTAAAAAGTTACTGACTGACTATATATACAGGAATCACAGTTGTTGATTTTCAAGGGTTGATTTCTCCTTCCCCAAATGCCTGTAATAATTCTGAATATCTCTTACAAAAGATAAATTTTTCATATTACCCAAGAAAATGATTAAGATTTTTATGTAAAGGGTTGCTGAAATATAAGCAATCAAAAGTGCAAAAAGATTACAAAAAAAAACTATTTTCTTTTTCTTCGTCTGGCTCCTACAGAAAAAGCTACTGGGTCTAGAAAGCTCAGATTTTAAACTTAAATCTCTCTTGTTATCAGTGAAATGCTCACAAAATTTCTGGGACAATAGGTCAAAGTTCATAGGGGTTCCCTCATAGAGCTATTTTATTTTTATTACTTAATTTTATGGTTGTAAGAATAAAATTGCATCAAAACAAATGATTTTTATTCAAAATTTTATCCAGAATAACAAAGCTCAAATTTATGCAAATTTTACTAAATGGCATATTGAAAGTTTTAATCATTATAAAAGTTTGGTCAATGGCCATTGCCAAGTGCTGACCAAAACTGTACATCATAATCTTAAGTCTTGATGTAAAAGCATGATCATTAACAAAAAAAAAATTTATATCCAAACAAAAACTTCTGAGATGTAAAAAAAATTATGACAATTTAGATGACAAGTTTTTTCTTACATGTGTTTCTTTGGTAAAGATAAGCTTGTGCTTCAAAGAGAAATGTAGAAAACAATAAGAAAAATCTTCTGGGTACTGTTTGAAGCACCAAGCTTATCATTGCCAAGAAAAATTCCTAAAAAAAATCTGATTGTCATCTAAATTGTCATAATTTTTTACTTGGTGCAGTTTTTTTACATCTCAGATTCTTTTGTATGTATTGCAATCATTTATTTTGTTGAGATTACTACTTTTTACTCTCTCATTGGATAGGATTTTTTCCCATATGTTGTCAATTTGGAACATCTGAAGGTGATGTATCATAGTGTCTGTATTGCCTGGGCAGTGTCTATACTGATTGGTTGTGCTGATTTTCTAGGTAGATAGACAGTAGTTCATTAGTATTGAATTGGTTCTCACATGATTGATAAGAACATTGATGCAGCAATCTGTTATATCAGGAATGTTAATGCCTGAGAAGTTTTTGAGCTAGAAGAAGTTTATGTTTTTTGGATAACTGATCCAGCTGTTGTAATGAGAATGTTGAGGTCTTCAGCAGTGGACGTTTTTAGAGTTAGAGCCTGCTTTTTGCAAGTTTGTCTGCTTGTTCATTAATGGTAATGCCTTTGTGTGCTGGTATCCAAATAAGCTTGGTGTGTAAGTTGTGGTTGTATCTTTGATATAGGGCAGTAAGAATTATATGTATTATGGTAGGGGAATTATCTTGATGTGTATAGAGAGCTATTAGGATGGATTTCAAGTCTGTACATATCAAATCAGTCATTATGCCAATGGTGTACAGTATTGCCTGAAGGACTGCATATCCCTGCAGTAAAGATTGTAGCCATGGGATGCAGTGGTATAGTGGACCATATTGGTATGTTTGGTGTCTATGTATGCTGCCATTTTGTTATTGGTGTCTTTTGATCTGTCTGAGACAGGTTTGTGCTGTAGTTGGTATTCATGATGTTGGCCACCGATATGGGATGTTTGAAGGACAGAAAATTGTGCAAGTTTACCCAAGAGTGAGTGAAATGGATAATGGGAATCTTGATAAACAACATTGCAGGAGCCACCCTTATGTTTTAAAAGAAATAATCTGTGTTTGCTTTTCTGATATTTGTATGTATTATATTTACAGTGACCATACGTCCTTTATTTAAGAGGACAGTCCTTTATTTCACTGCTCTGTCCTTTAACTTTATTTATTTTCTAAAATAGGCATTTTGTCCTTTATTTTGTAAAGTTGATGCAAAGTTTAAAAAAAATTTTTTAATAATATATTGAACAAGTTAGTTTTGTGTACGCCATCACGATCAGTGTTGCATTGCTAAATAGAGCGCAGTAGTGCAGTTTGTCGTCAACCAAACGGCCTACTGAACCAGGAGGTGGACACTCTTATGGGGATTTTTGTGATAGTTTTTTAACTCTCTAGTTGGTGGATGATACACTTGTTAATTAAAGCTAAAGTTAGTTGAAAGAAAAAATGAGGGGTTTCTTCCTATTGTTATTAGAAAAGTGGTCTTAGCATTAGAAAAATCAGAAAATATACAAGCCAAAAAATTCAATGA